GGAGACTCGTATTCTTTGATAGAATTTATATGTTTATATTTATATAATATTATTTATATTTATATTCTATTCCAAATTTTATATTTCACATTTGATCTTATCGTGAAAAGTGATATACTTAAGACGTGTAATATGTGAATTGGTCTTGAACCGAAACCGCAGGTAAGGGACCCTTGTCATAGATAGTGAACGATTATGCCTACACTCGATTGTCGTGCGAGGTTCCTTCTCACCGTAACACGTGATGTTTCGCAGGGCATTCATATTTTATTCAGGACCGCATCGACCTCCGCCGAGGACGAGAATCCCCGACCTTATATCGAGGCAAGTCTGGACTTGACGGTCTTAAAAGCATTAAACACAGATTGTACTGCGACGCAAAAATGTGCTTACGATAACGAAGTCGCCAAACATGTCCCGACTCACTCGACGGCAGTATTCACAGAGGAATTCCGCAATTTCTATCAAAGCCGATCGATTTCTAATCTATATTATAGTGGTTTACTCGCGGAAAAACTTGACCGTGATGATCTGTCAATATTTGCGACTACTGATGCAACGGAGGACGTGTTGCCTATTGGTGCAACGGTTCCGCAATGAGCGAAAATTGATTTCGTCCGCATGCATTCCTGTACAAGCTCAATTATTTACAAAGAATCTACAGTTGTACTTTGAAATTGGAGTTTCGCTACACAACTATATACTATAAATCGTAGCAGCTATACATTATATACATTAAACATTTCTAAGTATATTCATAATAAATCAGCGACATACTCGAGAAAATAAGTTTTGATATCGTGACAAAAACTTGTTTGTTTTTTAAGTGTGGGATCTATGCCATTTTTTTTAAAGATTGTGAAAACTGGAATTACAAGGATGATGATTTTTGCCGTGAACCGACTTGGTCCGATAAACTTTCGAAAGGTACCTAATTGGAGTACGTTGTGGATATCGATCAAGTAATTCTTCCCTAGGAGTATAAAGGTGAAAAGTGAAAATGTTCGTGTAAGTTTGTCGAAATCATGATCAGGTAACTATTTTTTTTTATCGTACAATGAAACTCGATTGAAAGTGAAATCCATGTGAGATCTACAAAATCGAGAAGTGAAAAGTTCACTGATAGTTACGCGCATAAGATACTTATATATTTTTATAGTTACATATTCTCGTAGCGCACATAGGGCTTGTTCGTTTTAGCTACACTGGGGCTGCTCTGGTTCTGCTCTACACAGGATAATACAGGACAGATAAATAGTTTGTCCTGTATTATCTTGTTTAGAGCAGACCCAGAGCTGCCCCAGTGCAGCTAAAACGAACAAGCCCATATATGGCACAATATAACGATTCTTATGTATATACGAGTGTCCCAGACTTACTGTAATACCCGTTAATGGCGGATTCTTGAGGACATTTGGAGACGAAAATCTTAATGCCAAAATGTCGAGGCTGCTATAGTTTTTGAATGGGAAAGGTTTAAAGTTCACCAATCAGCTTGTCAAAATTTTTTGCGCTCAGAGACATCGCATATCGAAAAGGCCCTTCCACAACACTTTACTCAACTCGATCGAAATAATAATACATATGTATCTTGACATATTGCTCACTTTATTTCTTTGTACACTGTTGGCAAAACTGACGAATTTTAGGCTGATAATAATAATTGATACGCGTCGAGCTGTCAAAGCATTCGTGTGAAGCGTGCCATTGACAAATGACGTTTCTCTTGTGATGAGAGAAAATCAATACAATCGGTAAGAAGTTTGCTGTATAAAATGTTAATAAGAAAGATAAGTCGGTAAGAAAAGAAACTTCTAACATGTTTGGAAATATATTTTTATTTATTTATTTAAAGAAACACGAACAAAATATTCGCCTTTTTTCATGCTTTGACAATTCGACAATCGCGTTTCCATACGATAATTACTATTATTATCTCGAAATTCGTCAATCTTGCGAACAGTGTACAAAGAAATAAAGTGAACAATAATTTCAAGTATTATTATTTCAATCGAGCTGAGTGTTGTGGAAGGGCCCTTTCGATATGCGGTGTCCCTGAGCGCGCAAAATTTTGACAAGTTGATTGGTGAATTTTAAATCTTTCCTGTTCAAAAACTATAACAGCCTCGACATTTTGGCATTAAGATTTTCATCTCCAAATGATCTCAGAAATCTGTCATTAACGGATGTTACGATAAGTCTGAGACACCCTGTCTATATCATAAGTATATATATGTATATATATATATTTATGATACTTTATATCTTGAATACATTTCATCTTGAATACTTTATATCTTGAATACATTTCACACACAAAGTGAAGAATATCGACTTATGGCATGACTTTAAAACGATAATAAACGCGTTCTCTTTCTATAGACAAGCAAAAGTCGATAACTCAGAATTGTGACATAAGCTTCGATCGAATCAACTACCGTTTTACGATGTAAGAAAAATGTAACAGAAATAAAGCGCGTACGCAACTTTGTGGCCGCTTTTTATAATCATTCACACAAGTCATATATGCGTTCGTACAAGTTGCGGCCAAACTTATTTTTATCAATATGAATACTACTTATCAAGTCGCGATGATCTTTCATTGATATCACGTGATAGGTTTTTTCCACTTCAATCTACATTTAATTATGTAGATTATGATTATTATTACATTTATCTCTGTTATTACAAATATTGTCTAAATCATAAAATTTCGATAAAACTGAGCGCTAAAACCCATAAAGTTCGCTAAAATTCACAAAAGTTGTGTGAATAATTTGTGGTAATGTCTTGAGATAACGAGCATTATTAAATAAATATCGTTACCTTGTATTGTTCGACAAATGTAACGATAATTAGATTACGTCCAATTTTATTCTACTCCATGTCTAAAAGACGAAAATAAACGAATACGAATGCTAATTGAATACAAATTGTTGACATTTTCACATTATATATGTTGACTTATTACATAAAAAGTTACTGTCATTCATTTAATATCATGTATAAGATATGCGTATTGTTATCAAGAAGAATGATTAACGCTTATCTCTTTCACATGACTCTTCTCATCACGTATCTTTTCTCGCTGATAGTACTATTTAATTAAAACAAGATAACAAGAATTAATATGATGAATTAATGCTTATCAATTGCTGCCTTTTCGTTAACTTTTTACAAGATTAACTACTTCCGTTTTTTGAAAGAGTATCATACAGGTCTAAAATAATTTTAAACTTGTATTATATATAATAGATATTGTCTCGCGTCGCGCGTCTACATTTATCTATCATGTAATCTAACATTGATAACGCGAATGACATCACTGGTTCAAGCACGCATTGTAGATTCATTAGTGAAAACTTGTGTTATAGCGTATCAATAAGCAATTAGTTTGAAGATTTTCTTTATTTACACCTTTAAGACATCATGTTTTGTAGAATGATTCACGCTCAAAAATTGTCATAAAAATTTAAACGTTAAATATTAAATTTTAATGTTAAACGATAAATTTGCGTCATACTTTTTATATTAAGCATATCGGCAAATAAATTTTGCAAGAAGCATAAAAAACTATAAAACTTTGAACAACCTTGGACAGTTGGCGATAATAATGTAGCAACAAGTAATAATTATGTATAATAGCCAAGTCCTCGTAGAAATCACGATTTTCGTGACTCGATTGTAAAAATAATTTAAAGTATAATTACGTTAATTTTAATTCACTTTAATTAGATTTATAATTCATTTAAATTAATATTCCAAATTGTTTGAAAACTATCAATATTTTGAGCAAGAAAGAAGATTTCAACAAAGGCAAACTTGAAGATTAATCTGCACAATGATGAGACAATGTTTTCCATACTCACAATTATATTCGAATTGGAGCGCGTCGAAATTCCTTTTTTCCAGTTTTGCGACGCCCAATTGTCAATTGTGTCAAACGATGGACGGCACGCGATGGACGGCGCAATGCACTAGCGTATGTGACAATGTCGAGTCGCGCGCACGCGAGTTGTTTTTTTTGCCGCAAGTGAGTTCGCATAGCTGAACACGTATACTTCGCGGGCTTGCGTGCTGCAAGGAATCGGCATACGAGTAGTCATCTGCATACGCCACCGTGGATGTACACATCGAAAATTCCATATCTATTTCAACTTCAATATGTAGCATTGTGTCGCGGATGTAAACACGCCGAGAGACAATGGTTTGCATAGGTTGATTAAAAAATATTAATCATCAGTTTTGTAACATGATAGATTACGATCTCGCTCGTTACGGTACATAAGATATGCATAAGCGAATATTAAGGAGATCCTGGAGTCATCTGTTTTACCGTTAGAGTTTTATATTTTTTTTAGGAAATGTCTTTTCGAGTATCCTAAAATTATGTGTGCTGTATGGTACCTTTATGATATTATTCGGAAACTAATCTATTGCTGTTTTTTCGTCTGTTATAACGACACCAGACGTACACGTATATAAGGATAGTTAATTAGAAATATCTTTTATATTAGACTTCTGAGTTCAATTTTAATGATTCATTAACATTTTATTATGCAGTTCGCAGATTATGCGGTACATTTATTTAGTGTGTAAGAACTGTTGAACTTTTATATGAAGCGAAAATTGATAGTTCTAACCGCCATATTATTCTAAGAGCATGTGAATAGAAATGTAATTTTATAATTAATTTTTTTTTTCAAAATAAAGTTGATGCTGCAGCCTTCCTTTTTATGTACACTTTAATCCTGGAAAAGGATTTATAATTCTATACAACCAATAAAAAGATATTTCCTGAAAAAATATGGAATTCGGATAGACAGTCGGGTTAACATTACCGTCGTTTCTCGCAGTCGACTATTTTTAAAGACCTAATAGTAATTTATACCGCTAGATGGCACATGCTGTTTGCGGTACAGCTGCTAATGCCGTGTACACTCTTATGCAATTTTATACTTCGTGATTCATACTTTGTTGATATTATCGCAGTATTTTCTCTACTTCCGATTGTAATTTTCATTCAAGTACCGCGATAAGTATTATGTTTTCTGTAAACTGTTTCTAATAGGCACATGGCATGTCGAGAATATAATAATGAATCGCTCTCTGTGAATCGCAAAAATAAGTCGTAGAATCTGTCAAACGGGAATATTTATTCACGAAAATTTGAGAATTGTGCGTTTAGAATGTCACAACAAAGTGCTATCGTACAAGCAACTAATACAGGCTCGGATATGACACCTGTGCTTGGTACTTTACAATCTGTAGGGCCTAACAATCAAACTTCACCGGGTTTACCTAATTTGCAAAGTAGCGGCACTACGACAACCACTATGCAGTCGCAGACGCAATCTCAACAAACTCAATACATTTCGCAGCCTTCGAAGCAAGTACAACAATCCTCCACTCCAAGTTCTTTTAGCGATTTTCCACAAGTATGTCATCCATATAAATACCGTAAAATGTTTGGAATTATATTTCTATTATTCATACGAGAGATACAAGAGATATATAAATGCAAAATCTAAGGATGAAACAATAATGTCACAAAAATTATTTCAAAAATACGATTCAGATACCATAATTTGTACAAATATAATTATACAATACATTTATATATATTATCTACATAATATTTGTTTGTGTCTCCTTGCCAGTTCTTAACTTTTGATACAGCATTTGCCAATTAATACTGTTCGATTTTAGTTTTTAACAAAAACAAGATTACAAGATTTGGTAAGGGAAGTAGATCCTACTGAACAATTAGATGAAGAGGTGGAAGAAATGCTTTTGCAATTAGCGGATGATTTTGTGGAAACAACGGTAAATGCAGCTTGTCTACTGGCTAAACATCGTCATGCAAACACAGTGGAAGTTAAAGATGTACAGCTGCATTTAGGTAAGTTGTTAAGTAACTTGTATGTATATATGTATATATATATGTATATAAAATCATAAATAAAAGAAAATCTGAGGATTTTGTAAAAAACAAACTTCAAGTATTGTACAATTTGGTAAATATAACTTGGAATAAATTGCAAAGAGAAATAATAGAAATATATCTGCTATTTATGATATTGTAATTTTCAGAGAGAAATTGGAATATGTGGATCCCTGGTTTTGGTACAGATGAAGTTCGTCCTTACAAACGAGCTACTGTCACCGAGGCGCACAAACAAAGATTAGCGCTTATACGAAAGTCCATAAAGAAATATTAATCCCTTCGCGAATTGCATGTAATTGAATAGTTTTGAAGATTAAAGTCTATTGCATTTTATACATTTTTAATAATCTTAAGTATGACTGCTTGATACCTTGAATGTGTCTTCCAGCTTAAGGTCCTTGTAACAAGAACATATTCATTTTATACATAATCTTTTCTTTTTGCACACGTGTGATTATTGTATAAATAAAAATACAGGGAAATGCAAAGCTTTTAGGATTATTCTGTAAATATTTATATAGAAGCAAGAGCTATATTTCTAGAAAAAAATGAATAATTTACGTTAAATAATATAAACGAATAAATAATAATTGTATTTTTTGAAATTGATTTTCCTTACTTTATTATCCTTTGATGTATTCGAAATATCTGCAATTTTTTTATTTTTAAATATTTTCTTATTTTTTTATATTTTTTCTTTTTTCATTTTTGTTTCAAATAATCCATTTTTTGTAAGGACAAGAAAAAGAAGTCATACAACACGTTATTTTTTTGTGAAATACTATTTAAAAATGCAGAACATGTTATAAATTATAGAAATCTTACACAGATATTACATATGAAGGATTAAGGCGGAACAGCATAGCATTCATTCGCAAATATAAAGAACATACAAATATAAAGAAAATGTTCACAAGCTGATTCGCATGTAATAGGTATTAAAAATATATAATCTGTGTCCAATATGCCTACTATATACCATTATACATATGCATTATAATGCAGATAGTGCTGACAACGTTATTTCCGATCGCGTAGGTTCTTAATCTTCGACTTAATTATTATATTTTATATTATCGATAACATATTCGCTTTCGAAATATTTTTCAAAATGTTTCGTTTTCTATACACAAGTTTCGGCAAAAATACTTTTTTAAATTGAGACCTTCTAGTTCTCAAGTGATAGACATGATGAAACAGTTTACGAAACCACGAATGTTTTGCAAGGATAGCTGCTGATCGTAGCGTAGACAATGGAAGCAATACATCAAAACAGTCCCATTTCTTTCTTCAGATTTACTTGTTTCCAAACTGGAAGCTGTTGAAATTCTTCCTTGCTCATTCCAAACAGCTCCTGTCAAATCGCAGAATATATCATCTTACGTATCTTTTGTTGACATCCATTTTTATACAACTTTATTAATATTTTTATTAATTTAACATGTTTAATGGCAATATTTCGGATAGAAAATATAATCATGGGACAATATATGGGCAAAACTATTAGTATTTAAGCACTACTGATCAGCACACGATACTAACTTGAAAGTGTTGTTGGGATAAATACAGTTCCAGGCGAGTTGGATCAACTCCGTCGGGTAAAGGTCTTTGTAACAGCTGGGCAGGAGGATATGTGCTTTGCGTCAGGCGAGCCAGTTCATTTTCCGCGGTTAACACTTCTCCTGGATTTCGGCCATCCTGACAATATGTTTAATATAAGTGCAAAAAAAAAGTGATAAACAGAAAAATACGAAATGTGTATTTTTAAACATACCTCCATGTTTAACTCGGCGACATCATCCCGATACGTCCATTCGGGAAAGAGATTTATAAATTGCAATGGCTCCAAACCGGCCCATACTAAGTAGATTGGAAAATTCGTTGTTTGTGTGCTCCGAGTTTTTCGCCAATATCTTATCGCTATCGTCATCGCTGCTCTCCTCTCAGCCTGCCACCGAACAGTTTTGGTTCCGGACTGATCTTCCGTTTCACTATCGGGCCACCATCCTTGCCAAATCCAAATCACGTTCTTGTCGTCCAATAAAAATAAAGCTGAAAGTTGCAGCATTCGATGGAAAAGCTTATAAAAGTTTTCAATGATAAAACTATTGATAGGAACATTTCTGTGTTAAATGTTATAAAACTAGAGCTAGTGGTAAACTAAACTGAAGTTACCATAAACTGTTGAGAAATTTAAAGATGTCCAAAATCAAGATTGAAAGTTTAAGTATTTAAAATCAGACACAATTTTATTAACAATCACGTTTCGCGTTAAACAAAATAAAATAGAACTTTGCAAACATTGTTCTCAAAGTTTTCGATTTCACACGCTTTTTCGAGTTATCTTCTGATGTGCTTTCAAAGATGCGATACCTGGTTGGCTCGCTTGATACAAGTCATCCTGCAGGAAAGGGAATGGCGTCGTGAGGTCCGCACGATGGAGACAAAGTATTTCCGTTGCGCGGAATTTTTGAAAGATGCTCGATAAATGATAAAGCCTTGGAGTATGATCTTGTATTTCAGTTGTTTCCAGCGACCAGTATAACTTTTTATTCACGCCACCTAATGCTGAAAAGAAATTTGTCCCACATCAAGTAATGGTAAATTTAATTTTAGGTTTTCTCTAAGGCTGTTTAAAGGGCAAGCCAAAATCAAGAGAGCCATATATTAAGCGTATAAATTGTGAAATATTAGTTCACTAAAATTTACTCACCGTTATTAAATTCTTCAGGTTCCGAACCCTCTTGAATTTCATATATTTGTACTTCATTTTCTTTCGACAATCCAGCTTCTTCGGGTCGATTCTCTTTCAACTTGTTTGCAGCTTTGATTGCATTCTATAAAAGAAATAATGAAGAAAATAAGAGAAATACCAAAGATAGAAACAAGGTGATATAGACAGAATAGGAGAGCGTATAAAGAGAGAAAAAGACAAAAAAAAAAAAAAAAACAAGAAAAGACAAACTAATTAAAAAGAGAAAGAAATAGAAGAATAAAGAGCGGAATATAAAAATATATAGACATAAGAGATTAAACTTGTAAATCAATATTTTAAATTAAAAAATTGTAGCTTTTAAAAAATATCGAACCACAAAATTAGATATGAGAACTAATGCCGCAATTTTGAACTTTGATTGTATGCGTATATTAATTAAATTATTGTAGTGTGCGTATTAATTACATTAAAACACAGAATATGATTGTAGACAATATACCTCTCTGATGTGGCGCAACGAGTGGTTCCCATGCCAGATGTATATTTTCGCATTTTTGGTATCCAGCAGCAGAAAGGAACCTCTACTTCTCAATTGTCGAGTGCTGCAAGGGATCTCGATCAAAATACCTCAGACTCCAAGGTACCTCGACAAATGTAGAATCTCCATCGTTTCTCGACTTTCTTCTCAGATTTCTTACCAGTGTGCACCACCATCCTTCCGCAGAATAAATTTAAGAATACAGCCGGTTCGTGTCCTTGGACAATGCGAACCTGCAAACGTACGTAGTGTCGGGCGTTTTTCTTCTCATTCTCTTGTCACAATATTTCACTTTGAAATTTTTAATGGCAGACGCTGATTGCGTCTTATCTCCTTACCTGAGGTACCCCTTGATCACTGTCCAATTCAACCGTTAGCAACGCTGCGGCACCCCGTTCATTCAAGGACGCGTGCCGGCCTTGCCAAATAAAATATACAGACCTGTCGCGACCCTTTGCCGAGTGTTTAGACGGCAGACCACTCAATTCTCGGCCTACGGTCACAAGAGACAAAATAAAACCGAAATTATATTGTAACATATATACGTATATACGTTGCAGAACAACTCAATAAGAGGCTCACCGGTAATCGTGACGGAATACGTCCACTGAACGATATAGCTGTCACCAGAATAGAATTGGCCAATGGACGAGCCATCTAAACGCGTATGCGAGAATTCATCAATGTACCACACCATCACGCATGTCGTAGCGATGACATATTCTTTCCTTAACTAGAATCGAATGAAATCACTGATTAGTTTCAGTCGATTATAAAAGGCGCTAATTTATCGCGATATTCTGATTAATATAGTTTCAAAATTAATATACAGGGTAGACCATTTTATTCAATACACGCAAATATCTCGAAAAGGAGAAGTTTTTTCAGAAAAATGTTTCAGATAAAAGTTGTAGGGTTTTAAGTGGTGCATTAGACAGAAATATTATATCATTCTCTTTCTCTCTTACTCTACCATAACTTTCAAGTCTCATAACTCGAAAAGTTTTTAACGAAAAATAACTTCATTACAGTGTTTTGAAAAGCCCTCGAGATCGACTACAGGAAAATGCAATAAAAAATAGGGATTTTTATTTGAAAATTTCAAAGTGATTTTTACGTGACCTTAATAGCGCTAGCCAAGGTCACACTGATTTTTCTATCTAATGTGCCATTTAAAACCCTACAACTTTTGTATAAAACATTTTTTTCGAAAATGCTTAGTTTCCGAAATATTAACCCATTAAGGACCAAACGGACGTTTTTTCGTGGCTTTTTTCAGCGGCTGTTTTTTCTACTAAACCGGTCCAAAAAGTTCTAAAACAATCATTTCTGATGTAAAATTTATTGAACTTTCAGAATCTGTCTTCAGAATTTTTCCAAAATACGATCCGAAAAAGTTATGTTTGTTTATTTAAAAAAAAAACCCGATTTTTTACTCTTTTTTTTACACATTTACACTTTTTTTTAATCGATATTTTCGCATCGAAATCGGATGAGGATATCTCTGGGAAGTGAAAATCTTGCGTCCATGGACCCTAAGCTTCAAAATGTATGGGTAAGTATTTTGAAATTAAAGATGGCGACGTCTAATATGGCGGTCCAAAGCCATTAATGTTATGCTTTTTTCGATTATTCCGAGCACAACAATTTCTTTTGATGAATTCCCAATGAAAATGGGTCTACTAAGGTTTTTTGGGTCGCTGATTACAAATCTCAACAGATTTCCTGAATTTAAGATGGCGGATCCAACATGGCGGACAAAAATTCTCAAAATTGTTCTATTTTTATAAAAATTTGTATATAGGTGTGTTTTGGATCGCTGATTACGAATCTGTTATCAGATTTCCCGAATTCAAGATAGCGGACAAAAATTCTCAAAATGGTTCAATTTTTATACAAATTTGTATATAAGGGTTTTTTGGGTCGCTGATTATGAATCTGTTATCAGATTTCCCGAATTCAAGATGGCGGACGGAATAAAAATTTTGAGAATTTTCGTCCGCCATGTTGGATCCGCCATTTTAAATTCGGGAAATCTGATAACAGATTCATAATCAGCGATCCAAAAATCCCTTATATACAAATTTTTATAAAAATTGAACAATTTTGAGAATTTTCGTCCGCCATCTTGAATTCAGGAAATCTGATAAAAGATTTGTAATCAGCGACCCAAAAAACCTCAGTAGACCCATTTTCATTGGGAATTCATCAAAAGAAATTGTTGTGCTCGGAATAATCAAAAAAAGCGTAACATAATGGCTTTGGACCACCATATTGGACGTCGCCATCTTTAATTTCAAAATACTCACCCATACATTTTGAAGCTTAGGGTCCATGAACGCAAGATTTTCACTTTCGAGAGATATCCTCATCCGATTTCAATGCAAAAATATCGATTAAAAAAAATGTTGGATTGAAAAAAATCGAGATTTTTTAAAAATAAACAAACATAACTTTTTCGGGTCGCATTTTGGAAAAATTTTGAAGGCAAATTCTGAAAGTTCAATAAATTTTACGTCAGAAATAATTGTTTAGAATTTTTTCCGGACCGGTTTAGTAGAAAAAACAGCCGCTGAAAAAAGCCACGAAAAAACGTCCGTTTAGTCCTTAATGGGTTAAGGGGTCCTGGCACTTTCCGAACACCCTGTATATACCTTGTGTTTTCACATTTGGCAAGGTAAGAAAGAAAGAAATATTGCACTCAACTAATAAAAAAGCATCAAATTACCTCATTATCATAGCAACCAATGCCTCTACCCAAATGACAACCTTCTAAAACCAGATCGACCGGAGTGGTGTTCGGTAACCACATATCATCGCTATCATCCAAATGCACCGTTGTAGCGCCGTCCATTTGTCGCGCGCTATCCTTCCGGCCTCGTGCTTTCACATTCGCAACAATATTAGGCCAGTCGAGAAACTTCTCCCGGAAAAGTATCGTTTCGACGTGTTGAGTTAACTTGGCGAGCAGACACCATTCGGGCCTGCTTTTGGCGGATTTTGTGAGCGGAGCCGCGTTGCTTCGATTACCGATCACGCGGGCCGCGTCAATCGGACAAGCGACACACTCGCTATAATCATATCCATTATTCCACATCTCTGTAGCAAGTTGCGTGGCAAGCCTCTTCTTCTCTGCCGAGACTCCTTTACCGTTCCAAATGTACATCTCGGTGCCAAAATCGAATACTAGAATCTTTGAGAAAAACAGAAAAATGTATATATGACGTAACTGTTCTTTTAGGAAACTTTTCAGAATTTTTCAATAAACTTAAGTCAGTTTGTATAAAAAAAAAACAGTTTCCGAAACAGGGTTGGAGAACAAAAACTCGTTAAATTTTTCGACCACGACTGTCGAAAACACAAGAAATAATCATCTTGTTAAAAAAAATTTACTCTTTTACGCACGTTATCAAAAACGCGCAAATTTGAAAAATTCTAGCTTTAGAAAAAGAGAGATAAAGATAGGATCACCAACAAATTTCTCGTTCAGACGTGCCCGAAACATGTTCTGGAAACTTTGTACGCAATTAAATTTTTGAATTATTAATCAAGAAAAAAAATTATATATATAACTTAACTCAGTATAACAAATGGAATCCTGATTTTGCAAATAATAAATTACCTTGTTTTTATCGAGCATTTCTATTTTGGGAAGCGTGCCCCATAACTTTTCGCGAGGCACCAATTGTTCGTTCTTCAATTCATACACCATATTTGTATCGATAATAGCGGATTCATACAACTCATCCTCATCGGGATTGCCAGCCTCGGTAACTGTATCAGTAATGCATCATTAACAAGCAATAAAAACGTATTGAATGTTATAAAGAAAAACTGGTGAAAAGATACCATTTAATCTTCCACCATCGCGCACACCAAGATAATGCCAAAACTTTTCAACTTGATTCCTCGTACAAATGAGTTTGTCTTCATTTATAGTGATAACTTGAGTAGCTTGACAACCTAGATCTTTTTGCTGTTGAATACTTAATGCGATCTCGGCGGCACGGGTTTTCTCAATAACATTGCTGTATTTCCCGACATAATTAAAAACCTGTAATTTGTTGAGTTTCATCAGTAAAGAAGAAGAGTGAAGAGTATACAAGTATATATAAACTACGCGTCAAAATTAAGGGATAGAAAATTTTGGATCGATTTTTGGGTGTTTTTTGAGCGGTTGTATCTTCGCGAAAAATGGACGAAAAAAATATTTTAAAAAAACATTTTGAAGCTTGAATCTTCGAAGAAAACTCCCGTATCATCATTTTTAACTGAGTTATCCTCTATTGAACGGACCAATCCGGAAATGAAAAAAATTTCCCCAAATTGAACAACGTGCATGGACCAGAAAAATTTTTTTTGTCAAAAATCGATTCGACGACGTTAAAGCTCATACAATTCTCAACAATTTGCTTTTTTAGTGAATGCTGTGCGATTTTTTTTGACCGAGTTATTGGCGGTTAAAGCAAAATTGGTACCTTCAACTTTAAACATCCGTAGCTCCGGAACAAATTGTCGTACGACATTCACCATGAGCTTTTTGGAAAGTTCAAAGTCTCCCTATAAGACGCTCTCTTCAGAATTTCGATCTGACTATTTTTTTTATTTATATCGATTGTAAAAACGTGTTAAAAATGGTGTTTTTCTCTTTTTTCATTCACCTGAGCGGCACTTCGTGAAAAATGATTGAAACCCCTTAGTGTCCACGTTTTTTTTAGTTAAAGGTATGCCCAGTAACCACGCAAAATCCCGAGAGCGCTGGATTTTTCTTTCCTAGTGTTCTGAAGCTCGTAAGTTACGTTAACGTACAAAAATAACTAAAAATCTTTTATTCGCCCCAAAAATGCCAATAACGCAAAAATTCGAAACATTTTCCATCTGATCATTGATCCTTGCTTGGTTATTTCCACGATAATAAGTCTAATTTCACAAAATATAATTTTCAATACAATAACACGGCAGTTGGCGCGAGCATTTCACCAAGTTTGGCAGCGGATACCGTAAGCAGCGATACGGCGGTGCATAAACATGCATGAGCGCCTAACGGCAGTACTCGGTCAAAAAAAATCGCACAGCATTCACTAAAAAAGCAAATTATTGAGAATTGTGTGAGCTTTAACGTCGTGGAATCGATTTTTGACAAAAAAAATTTTTCTGGTCTATGCACGTTGCCCAATTTGGGGAAGTTTTTTTCATTTCCGGATTGGTCCGTTCAATAGAGGATAACTCAGTTAAAAATGATGATACGGGAGTTTTCTTCGAAGATTCAAGCTTCAAAACGCTTTTTTTAAATATTTTTTTCGTCCATTTTTCGCAGAGATACAGCCGCTCAAAAAACACCCAAAAATCAACCCGAAATTTTCTATCCCTTAATTTTGACGCGTAGTGTATATTCGATTCGAGCCTAATCTGATTTCATTTGTATCGTTATTCGATATTATCATCAATACGTGATATTTATCGCTGCTTCGTTGTTGAAAAGATGAGAGAGCAGCGCGCGTGTTATACTACATATATGTACCTCAGATTTCGTCACCAATATGTAATTATCACCGCTATTGATACTCTCGGCGACAGGCTCGACCAGTCTGGCTTGAACGTGGCGTCTTCCTTTAATCAATATCAGCATTACGTCTTTATACGGCTGCAATTTGTTTGTTGATATGCCGATTTCCGTTACATTTCTCAAAGTCACTGTGCTAAAATCTTCAGTAGAAGCCAAACCGGCAAGAGCCTCGACGGTGAAAGACGAGCTCTTGGTGACTAGAAGATCGGTCGAAAATTTCAATCTTTATTCATCTAACTCAGAACGTGTAAAATCTGCGTCACAATTAATACAATTGATACAATTGATACGACGTGGCGTGAAAATGTATATACCCACTCTTTACACTCAAGCTGTTGAGCATTCTCGCAGCCACATCCGTATGAATTTCGGTATATTCTGACCTCAAATCAGTGCGTGCCGCGAGAACTTTGAGAGGATTTTTAGAGGTTGCTCGTCGACGTTGCATTCGTATGTTCCGCTTTTGCACTAATCTGTGAAGAAAATAATTCGCGCTGTAGCTATATTTGCATACACATACTAACAGTTCTTTTAAACAGTTCTTTTAAACAGTTCTTTCAATCAACTTTTTCTTGCTCTCTTCTGTTTTGTGCTCTTTTTCCTTTCATATCTCTAATAAGAGATTCATTATTATAATTCTTTGCTCATTTTTACGGATAATGGTAAAAGCGGAAATTTACAATTCAGAGTGTGGTGCAACTATATTGAAGGCATTCTCATCTAAATCGAGACACTCGGTCCCGCACTTTTCCAGCGACACACCGCTAAAGAAAGAGGTGAACGTTTCGTCGTCCATTTTAGGTACTGAAACAGTCGGCGACAAGACATGCTCCGTTTTACATTCTTCACCTATAAATTACAATAAACTAATTTCATTAAATACAAATTCTTGGCGCGTTTTGATTATAGAGGAAAATTGCGCATTTATCCTTAATCTAGCTGTTTAGTTTGGAACGCGAGCTTACACGAGCTGTCCCAGAAGATTTACACAGCGCAGTTGCAATGATTATTGGAATATAATGTTGCAATTTGCGACAACTTTCGTATATAACTCTGTCGGTATCCTTCGGGACAGCGCGAGTCGTCGACGTAAAATGCAATAAGCATACACAAGACGTGATTTTGAAGAATTTTTTTAACTGAAATCGCGTACTAACCGCTATCGTCGCTCACGGGTTCCGAGAAGCTCGTACGCGTGGCAGAAGACCAATCTTTGCACGGACTAGTAGGAGTCGATACTGCGCCGTCGTTACATACTGAAAAGATGCTTGATGGTTAACAATTGCTTACGTCTTATTACAAAGCGGGAAGTAAATTGAAATCTCTTATTAATTGAACCTCTTGCTAGAGAAACAGTCGAATACTGCCTAGGCAATACAATTATTTAAACAGGAACACGTCTGAAAGATGATCTAAATCTTTGAGATCGATCTTCCGGCCGGTCGAAATTCGTCAGACCTCCTCCAGCCGAAAGCTAAACCTTTGACAAGTTTTCTAAATGCAGTTCTCTTTTACAGAGAAAGTTTTATTTCGCTCGGAAAACTTTGTCTTTACCTTTCCTCGTTTTCAACCATTGCGAGCGCGATGCTTGTTTCTTCTGGCTCGGAACATTCGCCGTGGCTTTCGAGAGAAACGGCGTATCAACGTCTTTCGATTGAGTTACTTTCATTTTTCCAGCGACGGTGAAGTTGATCGCGTCCGGCGTCACGACTCTAGTCTTCCAGCCTTCCATAGCGGACTCTAGTTTACCAATACAGTCGGCCAGCACGTTCGACTTAATCGTCGTCGTGTTCTCTTTTAAATCCTTCAACGACGACGCGCCGCACGATTCCTCAGTTCGGCCGCCGGCCATGCGTTGTTTCCAGTTCGTGCTACCGTTGTGACGTAGCGCGGCCAGCCGATCGGCGATACTTACACTCGGCGTGTCGCTCGTCTCTATCGACGCTATCACTTGCGTCGCGCTGCGACATCGTTCCGGTGAAGGCAAACCATGTTGCGCGACGCGCTTCTCATTCGTAACAGCGCGCTGCACCTGGCGATCGGCGAGGGACGACGATGCACGCTCATTATCATCATCGTCGTCCTGCTTCGCCGTCTCCTTCTTTCCCCCCTCGTCGCCATCTTTTCCTTGGTCGTCGCTCCCATTGTTACAGTACTTATCTTCGTCGTCATTATTGTTGCCACTGCCATCTAATGGCCGATTCGGCTTGGCCGCCAACGCATTATCACGGCACTTATCGCTGTTTTTTCTCGCTACGCTACTCGAAATTGTGTCAATCTTGCACTTGGTCCGATCCGAAGGGATTTCTTCGTTCCAAAATATTGCAGTTTTATGGGAAGGCACTGTAGCTTCGTTTTCCTGGGCGTCCTTGAACGCAATCGTACACGTATCGTCGCGAGAGTAAAGTTGTAAATTATGTTGTGTGATATTGGTCATTCCATTGGAACTATTTAATTTCTCGCAAAACTTGACGATTTCGCTGCTCAAGTTTTGCTTCTCGTTACCACACGCGCCCCTCTCGCTTTTTGATGCAGCTACGTCAACGACATTTACAGTCTGACCGGACTTGAAGCAAGGATTACTCTTGAGAATAGAACGCGGGTACACGTCGCAACTCGGCAAGGTCGCCGCCGATTGCTCCGAGTCTTCGCACTCTCTCTTCAGCATAGACTTCACCAACTTTGTACCCGACGGTTCGAAATTTTTGGCACACGACAGATTCTGCATATAACCAGTGGATGACTTTAAAATACTTTTCGGTAAATCGTGCTGGGACATTATTGTAAGCGACGACGTAAGCGACGTTGTAAACGCTTTCTGGCTTTCGTTCGAGCACCCTGAAAGAAAAACAAACATGTTGTTTAATAGTCATCGATATATGTGCGTCAACGTTTCACGAGCGGCACAAATATAAATTATATAAATCCGCCGTTGTGATACTTGCCTTCAACATTTGAGGTTTGAGTTTGATGATTCGCGTTGAGCGATGACAATCGGGACGCGACCTCAACCTCCTTGGATGTTACAGGCTGTGTTTTGTAACGAGTGGACGGTCGTCTCTTCTGAGTGAGCTTCTCCGGATACGCGACATTCATTGCGGCAGTGTCCGTGGTCGCGATCTTTTGGTCGAAGAGTCGCACGCGTTCGGCCAAACTCAGCTTGGACGGCTCCGGTTCGTCGTCGGGCGTTCCCGCAACGCTCAATGCAGCATTGCGCTGATTTTGTAGGACCGCTTCGCGCACTTCTTGGAAAGTTACCGGCTGAGTGTTGAATCTTTCGCTGCATTGCACTTTACGTTCGCGATAACGTTGCATGCCGTACGACAATCTTTGCGTGACTAAATGCTGAGAGCAGTTTTCCGCAGCGGCAGTGTTCACCTTCTCTTGCAGAGTCTTGAAATATTGTGTCATTTTCGACACGCTGTTGCTGCGACGAACGGTGGTGTAATCCTCGTAATCTCTCTGCGCGTCTTCCACAGTCTCCTTCCTGTCGGTCGCCTGACCGAGAGTTCCCATCGCGTCGCAGTCGTTTGCGCCGTCGGCGCCGATCTTCGCCAAGTGTGCACGCGAGTCTGCTTTATTCTTCTCTTCCATAGCGCTCGTGTCATTCGCTTCAGTTTTACTGAATTCTTCGCACAACAGCTCACTTTCTTTAATCACACCGGAACTGAAAAAGATACATATTGTGATACATGTGCTAATACTAACAATTTACATGAATAATTAATTCGTTTGATTTCTTTTAAAGCCGAGACAACACTGTGACAGCTCCGTTTATTCACAAATGCGTCGCATACAACTGTCTCCAATTTTTGGCGCTTTTGAGAAGCACTAGATGATCTATAATTAAACTTGGCACGAAATCAAAGCCTCACTAAATTCGCGTATCACTGTAGAAACTGCAAAAGATTAATCAAGCTTCAAATCAAACGTCGTGCATTACAACAAAATTTTCTTCACATAAAAGAGTCGCAATTGATTGCATTCTTTGATGGAAGTGCAAAGAATAAAAATTGTGCAAATAGGAATTTTACATTCAAATAGGAAAAGTTAAAAACTCCTCTCCATATATAAGAAAAATTCAATAAAATTGTTATTACGCGCCCTTAAGAATTATATTTAACGTTCAACTAAAAGAAATATCCTTTCTACAAGTCTGAACAGGTCAATATGAGCCTGGGAGAATCATTAATGACGAGTTATTCTGAGAAACAAATAAAACTTGTGCGCTGATTATACTGAATCACTATGATTCAGATCTTTGTGCCGCGGTGCCTAAGAATACAATTTGTTCATAAACATATAAATTCCAAAACAATTTAATAAAAAATCTTTAACATATTCGCTTTTATATCTAGTTATGTTTATATTGTTAAAACTCTCAAATAATGCAAACGTCATTAATGTGCACGCGATCGTAACTCAACTCGGGTTTTAACAACTATTATTCTCTCATACTAATCTATAAACTGGTAAACATAGATACCTATCCGTCATGTAGGAGATCTCACTGGGTCGGTCGGTCGTGAGACAACGACGTGGAATCGTCGAGGTACGCGACACATCGATCGGCGAGCTGGATTCGAGAGATCTTCGTTTCGCCAGCACACGAATCGATTCCGCGCAGTCATCGCTGTTAGCGGATCGCACATGACCCACGGACTGAGCTCTCTTTCGCAAAAACGAGTCCGCCGCCTGATCGCGCGCGTCTTCGTGGTAGCGATTGCCGCCGCCGCCGCCGCCGCCGCCGCCAGTTTGCTTCAGTATAGGTCGTACACTCTCGACTTCGGTCGTCCTGTTCTTCAGCGCCGACAGCTTTCGCGGTGAAATCGACTCCGCCTCGTAACCGCCTTCTTCGTACGAATTCTTCCGCGAGGACTTGAGGATCGTCTTCTTCGGTCTATCATGCTCGTGTTCGTCAGATTCGGTACTCGACTTTTTCTTCAGTATAGGCCGAGGCTCGAGCGACAAGACGTCACCCCCGATGAATTCCTCCCTGCCGTATTTCTTTTTCAATATCGGACGAACTTCGGACCCTTCGAGACCGTCGGAAATGAGACTCGTGCTTGTACACGCGATCGTGCTTTCACTCGCATTCGCGCTCGCAGCGTCCGATGTTACATGATGATTGGTTGCGTGATGATTCCCGCTGTTGACGCGCACGCTATTGGCGAGTTTTCGCTTCAGGATACTCTGCGGCTCCGGCGATCCCAATGCCGACCGATGAAACTCTCTGTCGTCTTCTCTGGACGATTTGCGTTTCAATATAGAGGCAAGCTGCTGATCAGGGCTCTGATCTCTCTTGACAATCTCGTCCAGCGATGATCGCCTCTGATTCTTCAGGATTGGCCGAAATTCTGAATAGATATTGTCGGCGAAGGAAACGTCGGGAGAGCAGCTGCGACGACGCAATATTTCGTTTTCATCTAAACTGCTGCGCTTCTTCAAAATACCGTGTTTCTTGCGGGAAATTGGTTCTGTGACGGAAGGCGAGAACGTTACTGGCGACGGGGTGTGAGAAGAACCACTCGACGACGCTTGCCGATCGCCTTCTTCGCCGTCGATCGCTTTATGCTTTAGGATTGAAACTGGCGCGTGTCTCGAAACTGTCGACTTTTTTGGCGACACTGGCGTCTTCTCAGCGACACTATGCACGTTCTCAGGCGAGTTATTTGTGCAGCTCATTGTTGTAGATGCGAGTCTTTCCACACGTTCTATCGTGGCTCGCGTTAGCGCCGTTAGCACGTCCACTCTTCGTGAAATCTCCGAGTCGCCTACATCGCTGCTGGAGAACAAAAGTCAGTTTTAACAATCTTCATTTAAACGACAGACTTATCTATTCTCGCTAGCGTATATCTTTATTATGTATATATATACCTAGGTTGTTGTCGTGCAATCGAGCGCTTTGTGGTCGCGACAGAAGATGACGGGCAAGTTTTAGAGAGAGTCACTTTCGAATTAGTGTACTTCCTACGTGGACTCGCGGCTTGCCGATTATCACAGGAGTCAGCAGGACTGGATACCATTTCAGTTACCGGATCTTGTTTAAAGGATTGTCTCCTAGAACGCCTCTCACTTGACTCGGCTAAAAATTATATCAAAACATTGAGGAAAGTGCGTTTAGTACAAAACTATCTTTCAATATTTTACTTGCAACTCGCTTATTAACGTATCAAGAGCGCGATTGTGACATTAAATATTGCATATAAAAATTTTCTTTACAATAATACAGCTAGAGCACAAACTGATAAATATATTGAAATAAAAAGAATACAAGAAAATGCCAAATATTTGGATCTTTAAAATTTTATGCCTCAAAAAATAGTTTCTCCTGCAATTACAATTTTATATCGATTAATCTCGTTTGCACTCCATTGATAAATTCCCTACCTTCACTTAAATGATCAGTAGGCGTTGCTTCCACATGACGCGATCTATTTAAGTAAGACTTGCGTTTATAGTTTTTATCTCTCTCCTTCACAGAATTCATAATGCCACCGTCTAAAGATGTGGAATTTTTCTGTACACAGATACACATACATTATGTTTATATATATATTGCATACTTTTCCCTCTCCCGCTCTCCTTTTTTGTGCGTGCACACACATAACATACATACAAGATATACTTGTAAAGCTACATAACTTGTCAATTATTTTGTTAAAGCATTGTTAAAGTCATTTTAGAATAAATAAAAAATAATTAGATATATATATATACACTATATATTATTATCACATGACACATAATTTATTGTCAGTCTAGAAATTAATTTCTAAACATTTTAATTTAAAAAAGTATAAAGTTTATGTAATACTAAATGATCTCATTCACTAAATATAAAACTGTAAGTGACTAACTGAAAATTGCTAGTGTATATAGATACTGCAATGACTCATCAATGAGTCACTAAACAAAGTTTAATAGTTTTTTAGTCAATTTACAATAATTCGTAGAAATATATAGAAAAGAATAATGCTCTTAGTGTAACGTTTTGCTGTACTGTAAACAAGCAATATTTTTTCATCGTTGTAAAAGGTCGATTAATTAATTTGATTCTAATTTTGCAAAGAAAAATTATCTCAAAGTGCCAAGATATATTAATAGATATTATTATTTGATAATTATAATTATGAAATAAGAGCTGCAAATACATACCTGCTTAGCGAATAAACTGTGCCTCTGAGTTCCAGGAACTTCTGATCCAAGTAATCTTTTGGATGATAATGTTACATCTGTTCATATAAGAAAATAATTAATTTGTATGCTTCAATATATTTTTTATTAAAACACGTATTGATTAAATGACATTGTACATGACATTGTGACGAATGTGCTATATAATGATTCAATGAAACTATATGTCAATAAAGGAATTTTACAGACTACAAAGTTTTTCCAGAAAAAAAAATCAGATTTCCAAATATCTCTCTATCAGTTATACAATAAATAATTAACATAGATAAAATATTCATCCAGATTATATTCAGAAATCATAATAAATTGTATCACTAGTTTAAGAATATATAAAGTAAATATATTTAAGAAAAGTTAAAAATTTGTATACTTTTGTATACTTGTATGTACACTTTTATATATTGCTGACAATATAGGACAGTCACATAATATGAAACAATACAGAAACATGTGTTCTATAAAGATGATTCACTTAATCTGATTAATGGCTGCAAATGGTTTTAAATAGTGCAACAAATTTTAAATAAAAACAGCAAAGGTAGAAGACTTTAAATTAATCATTAAATAGACTAAAAAAAAAAAAATGATATAGCAGTGACACTATCTTTCTGCATACCGAAAGAAAAGTGTAGCTTAAAAAAAGAATCTGAATGTATGAATAGATTTGAAACATTCACTTACCACTAGGTGATACTATGGAAGCAGCTCGCAATCTAGAAGTTCTGGTTTCACGAATCGGAGTAGTTTTACAAGATGTTAAATTTTTACAGTTCTCTTTGGACTGTACCTTAGATAATATTTTACCATTCCTCTCTGCTATAAGACTACGATGTTTCTTTTCTACTGTAATAGAAATAAATTTTATACGTTGATGCGTATTTCAAATACCAAACTAAGCACATAAAAATAAGTATTTAAAATAAGAATATAATTATTAAAAAGATTATTACAAGTTAACAATATTGTTGTTTCTTTTTTCAAGATTTTTTGACAAATAATAGATACAAGATATTAAAAAATACATTTAAAATTTCACGTTTTAAAAATAAAATATATGACATATACTATCTAAATTCTTACTACTTACTGATATTGGAGGAGCAAGTTGCTACATCTCCTTTCACTGATGACTCGATATTTCTTTTACAACGTATTTCATTATATTGGGAACAAGTACTTTGGTTTACCAAGTGTGTTATACCATTTCCTGTTTCATTCAACAAATTCTCCTCACTAGCTGCCATCAGAACTGTGGCTCCAGCAGCAACCATTACTAAAAGCATTGTATATTTTTATTGTTTCAACCTATCTGTATAATACTATAACTATATATATACAATGGCTATACTGTTTCTTAACTGATCAAATTCCAGTTTTTACAATTTTACAAATACTGGGATTCTCTGACAATTATCAATTCTGGGGCAGATTCCATGCATTACAGCTAAACATATGTATCGAGATATGTGTAATTTTGCAGAAGAATGGTAGAGAAATTATGATACTTGTCATAAGAAATACAAAAAAATCTTTTAATATTTCAACTTTGGAGTAGGTAGGTATTACAACTATCAATTTAGTATACTCACTTGATGCGAATTAATACGAGTTTTCTTGCAACGCGGCCATAATTTTACTCTCGAAAGCTTTCGAAAGAAACTGTCAGACAATCGAGAACGTAGCAGATGACGCGTTTATTTACGACTAAGTTATCACAGCTACTTATAAGTACTATACGTATAAAACGAAATAACTTGCGAGATGATTAACTATGCAATTCATATGATAAATTCGCGCAAACCTTTACATCATTTATCTCGAGAATTTATAAAAATCATGAAAATTGATGATTAAATAAAAGAAAACATATCTACAAAAACGGTGTCACTCTAGTGAACTGAACATGTCAATGGGCGCGTTCAGTTAGAGAAACTGTTGAGTTGTCAGTTTATATACACGGCATACACACACGTTGAGAATAGAGACCCTAGAAATCTAGGGTTTCTATTTCCAGAGTCTTTGGTTGAGAATCCATTAAACTACCCACATAAAGGGCTTGTTCGTTTTAGCTGCACTGGGGCAGCTCTGGGTCTGCTCTAAACAAGATAATACAGGACAAACTATTTATCTGTCCTGTATTATCCTGTGTAGAGCAGACCCAGAGCAGCCCCAGTGTAGCTAAAACGAACAAGCCCAATAGGTCTGTTCTTTATAGCTGAACTAGTGCAGCCAGTTCAGCTATAAAGAACAAACCAAAAGTTAGCTGGAAGCAGTGAACTTTATACATACTGGAATGAGCACCGCCGTTAAAAAGTCAGCCGAACTTGTTTGTGAAACAGAAAACCGATAGCATTGAACTATATACCATACTGGAACGAGCACAGGCTACCCCCTCCATTCGACAAAATGGTCAGACAAGGCAGTGACTCGGTACCGGATTTCTCTTTCTATCTCGTCTACTCTCGACTAATAGTAGCTGTGAACACGTGACCAAAACTGTTGGTTAGATAGAGAGATTCGGGTCCGAACAGCTATCTCCATCTGACCGGTCGAGAACAAAGGCGTGCTCGTTCCAGTATGGTATACATTGGGTGTTTACGATAATTCAAGTTCGAGTTAGTTTTACTAGGGCCGAAAAATGAGATAGACATAACCATCTAGAACCTTTATGATTCATGACAACTCGACGCTGTC